CAGTAGCTATATTTTTTTTTTAAGTTTTCTCCGTGATAATGATATGCACCTTCATTTGGGAACCGTTGCTGCAGTCCACTAGACCAGTCTTTAAGTACATCAGAATTGTGAGTATTTGTTTGTTGTTGTTGCTGTTGTTGTTAGTATTTTTTGGTGTGTGTGTTTTGTTTTTTGGGGTTTTTTGTGTGTGATTTTGGTTTTTTTGCTTGGTTGGTTTTGTTTGTTTTGCCGCAATATGCGGCTTGCGGGATCTTAGTTCTCCAACCAGGAATTGAAACCAAGGTCCAAGCCTTGAGAGCACCGAGTCCCAACCACTGGACTGCCAGGAATTCCTTTTTGAAAACCGGCTTCCCAAGTCTTCCTCCCAGAGAGGTGATTCAGTGGATTTGGGGTGGGGCATAGGAACTGGCATTTTTAAACTCTTCATTGTGATTGGTCCCTGTGTTCACTTTTTGTGATGCATGATGAATTACTACAAATTTAGCAGCTAAACCAACACCCGTCTGTTACCTCAGAGTTTCTGTGGATCAAGGGCTGGGGAAAGGCTTGGCTGAGTCTTCTGCTGGGGTCTTACCCGGCCGCAGTCCAGGTGTTAGCTAGGACTGTGGTGCCATCAGAGACGCAAATGGGAAAAGAATCACTAATAAGTCCCCTCAGGTTATTTGTTGGCAGAATTCATCTCCTTGAAGTTGTAGGACTGAGGTCAGTTTCTTGCTGGCCGTTAGCAGGACACCACTCTGGGCTTCTCAAGGCTGCCCGAGGTTTCTTGACACCTGACTCTCTCATGACATAGGAAATTCTTCCAAGTTAGCAAAGCAGTCTCTTTCCAGTTTGCTAAGATGGACTTTTACATCCATTCCCATGCATACACATACATCTGTATTAATGCACAATATCCATATATTGTGTATTATCTATTCATCAATAGGTATTCATTATACCTATTGATACATACATATAGTATGTATATTTGCTATATAAGATGTATATAGAAATATTTAGATATTTATATTATATTGTATGTGAATAATATTTATATAAATATATAAATAATATATGTTTATATTATGTATAATTTATATAAATTTATAAATATTTATATATACATGTATAGCAAATATGCATACTGTATGTATGTATCAATAGGTATAAACATATATATATTTATATAAATATATAAATAATATATGTTTATATTATGTATAATTTATATAAATTTATAAATATTTATATATACATGTATAGCAAATATGCACACTGTATGTATGTATCAATAGGTATAAACATATATACACACATGATTATGTTACTATGTATATGATATGTATATGTGTATATACATTTATAAACATGTGCACACACACAAACACACCATACAAATAGTAACATAGTATGTGAGTGACATACTACACCTTCACCATACCCTGTTGTAAGAAGTTATGTGTCCTGTCCATGCTTACAGTTGTGAACATATGTGTCCATAACTGTATTGTGCCTATCAAGGTATTAACAGTTAATTTCGGCATTTAAAAAAAACACTTATTTTGACTGCACCAGGTCTTAAGTTGCAGCATGCGGGATCTTTAGTTGTAGCATTCAACAAACTTTTATGTGGGATCTAGTTCCCTGACCACGGATCAAACCTGGGCCCTTTTCATTGGCAGCAGGAAGTCTTAGCCACTGGACCACCAAGAAAGTCCCATGATTTCAGTACTTTAAGGGACATTGTCCTGTAAGTTCTAATGAATCCTGTCCTGACAAGTGTTTCAGCAAGTGTTTGAGCCTTTGAAACCAATGTTCTTAATTTTGAAGTCAAAGATCAAATGAAGTGTAGATGATACTATGTCCATCAAAGAAGTGAAAAACTCCCTCAAACAGTTTAAACCTGTAAGCAAACCAGTTTTTAGCACTTAGAGTCAATGCTTTCTCTATTCAGTAGCCTCACATACAATCAAAGATTGTGTATTACTTTCCCATTGCTTCTGTAACAAAGTACCACAAATTTAGTGGATTCATACTGAACACATTTATTATCTTATAGATGCTATGCATCCCTTCTGGAGTTTCTAGGGAGGATTCCAGGTCTTTGCCTTTTCCGACTTCTGGAGGGTGCCGCATTCCTACTGATAGCCCCATGTTGGCAGAGTTCATCTCCTTGAAGAGGAGCCCCACATTACCCCGACCTCTGCTTCTGCTGTCCCATCTCCTCTCACTCTGACCCTTCTAACTCTTATAAGACCTTTGTGATTACATTGGCCCACCTAGATAATCCAAGATAATCTTCCTATCTCCAGACCCTTAATCACATCTGCAAAATCTGCTTCTTCCAAGTAAGGTAGCTTATTTTCACCCAGGATTAGGATGTGGACGTCTTTGGGGGACCACTGTGCTGTCTTCCACAGATAACATTTCCTGTTTAACAGAAATGGAATTTGAATTAGGTAAGACACATAACCATATATCTTCATAGGTTTCAGTACATTCCCTATACAGTAGATACCGGAGACCAGTTAGATATTGAATAATACTTAATACACTTTGGGTTTTATTCAGTGAAGCTTTATAGTATTTACCTCACATACTAAGTTCCTTCTTATAATATTGAAAAAGTATTCTAAAAACACTGACAGTAACATGCTACTGGTTTTTTTGTTTTTGGTTTTGTTTTGAAGAAGCTCTTTCCTAATTTTCTATCAAGTTTTTGTAATTATCTACAAAGGAGGTATTTAGGTCTACATCCTTCTACTTGATGAACTGTTTAAAGGAACAGGGAAAATTGACTACAGAACAAATCACAGAACAGACAGATCGAGTGATAAGAACTTCCAGTTGGAGATTTGCGTTCATTAGCTTCTTGTCTGCCTGACAAGTATGTCTCCTACATCTAGTACACGACTATTACTAAAGCTTGTCAAGATTAAAGCATATCTGCGTGTGATTGCTCCACAACCTCAGCTGCACAAGAACTGAAAAGAAACAAGGAAAATGCAGTAGGGTTTTAGATTCTAGGAAACAGACAGTGTACACAGTTAATGGAACTGATCTTCATTCTTGCTCAATTTTCCTTTGTGAAAGATGCTATTTCCTGTGTTTGAACTTTTCCATAACGTCAGTCACTAGGGCTTATACCAGTCCACTTCCAGTGGCTATTGGGCATTTGGATTTCTTCTTAAACAATGAAAAAACACAGCTACCAAAAATCAGCATGTAGTGTCAAAAGGGTAAGTCATTTGATACACTGAGAAACTGAACCTTAAATCTACATTGGTTAAGTATACTGAAGTTTTATGTTAATTTTGAACTTTTAAGCTGTCATAAAAATATCAAATCAGTCTCCAGTTTGTGTGTCAAAGCCAAATAATGAATTTTCAAATTAAAACACAATTGAAAAAACGTTTACGATAAAAAAGTAAGTAGCACTGTGTCTACTACTGCGGGGGCTGGGGGTGGGAGGTGGGCAGGGAGGGGAAGGACATCTTGAATGGTTGAAATGAAGATGTCAAGAGACAGCAACTGCTAGACTTCCTTGGTGGTCCAGTGGTTAAGACTCCGCTCCGTGCTTCCAATATAGGGGGCCTGGGTTCGATCCCTGGTTGGGGAACAAGACCTGGCACAGCCAAATTAAAGCAAAAAACCCCCAACAACTCCCAAATCTAACAGTGGTTACTAGGCACTGCCTCAGCCTCTCAACTTAGGGGGTCTGAAATATTAGGTAGGAAAAGAATATCAGGTAGGAAAAGAAACACACCTCTTTGCTAATGTTCCCATTTTCGTGTCCCTTTGGCTTAGCAGCTGTCTGCTTTGCTCTTTCAAACATGCCTCTTCCCCAGCCCATCCCAACTCCTTCTGCCCCGAAAACCTGCCCCACCCTCTGCTGCTGCAGTTCAACTCATTTTTTTGAACTTTTATATGTTTTCATGAATCATCAGTACCTCTTGTCTTCTCTCCATCGGCTTGGCATAAGGGTGTTCAGCATTTAGCCGAATGAAGCATGTTTGTGCAACATTGAAAGACTTTCTTCAGCTTTCCAAAACTCTTTATCTCAGTGTGTTTATTCAGATGTGCCTTTCTCTGTGGCTTCTGGGGGCGGTGGGCAGGGAGGGGACGGGGCAGGGTTGTCTTGACGTCTGCAGATCCATCAAATAGTGACAGAGCAGCCCTTGCTCTAGTGCCAAGTTCTCTACCAACCCTTCACCTCCAGAAGCCACTAGATCTCAGTGACTCTGTCTCAGATCAGGGTGGGCTCTGCTCCACACAGTATGCTCCCAGAAACCTCAGCAGAACGAGACTCCGCCATCAGGGACATTAGGTCATTGTGGTGGGAAGAGAACACAGCAGTTGCCATCTGAGGCAGTCTTGGTCCTTTGCATTTCCATATAAATGTTGATGCCTTTTGACACTCCCTTCCCTCCACCTCCAAAAAGCAAACCAAAAACCTTCTGGAATTTGGAAAAACATTGAATATATCCCTCCAGTGTCTGGCTTGTTTTAATTTTTAAAGTGTTTATTTGCTGCGTTGGGTCTTAGTTGCATCATACAGGGTCTTTCACTGTGGCATGTGGACTCTCTGGTTGTGGCTCCTGGACTTATTAAGTCTGGGGCATGTGGGATCTAAGTTCTTCCTCCAGGGATTGAACCCAGGTCCCTGGCATTGCAAGGTGGATTCTTAACCCCTGGACCACCAGGGAAGTCCCTGGATTATTTTATTTTTTCATATGTATTTGTTATTTTCTCTATTTGTGAAGAGCAGGTGCTCGGGCTTCTCACATTGGAGGCTTCTCTTGTTGTGGAGCATTGGCAGGCTCTAGAGTGTGCAGCTTTAGTGGTTGAGATTTGCGGGTTCTAGAACACAAGCTCAACAGCTGTGGCAAATGGGCTTAACTGCCCCAGGCATATGGAATCTTCCTGGACCAGGGATCGAACCCGTGTCTCCTGCATTGGCAGGCAGATTCTTTACCACTGAGCTACCAGGGTAATTTTTTTCTGAGCATTCTATGCCATGCACTTTACGTAAATCATCTTGTGTGGTCTTCACAATAATGCTGAGCAGGTTGTAGTATTATTCCCATTTCACAGATGGAAAAACTAAAGTTTTGCAAGAGTAAGCAGTTTACCAGAGGCCACAGTTCATAAGAGATCTAGGAACTCCGCCTGCATAGTCTGTAAACTTAACCATTTTGTGCAGCTGAGGGAGAGAGGGATGGCTGGGGGGTGGATGGAAGGAGTTATTTGGGGAAAGGCAGACTTGGAGGAAAAGTCCACCAAGGTTTCTTACATGTGCTAGCTCTCAAACTGCAAAATATCTGTTTACCTTGATACATAATTATTTGTTTAAACAGCAACGGACCTTCTTCTCTGATTTCAGCATTTACACAGGAAGTTCCTACAACGAGGTGCTTGCCAGTCGCCCTTCCCCAGATCCCGAATGCACCCCTGGCCAGGTGGCGCAGAGGACAGTCACTCTGCTGGTCATGCTGAGCTCATACTCTGTAAGTTTCATTATTACACAGATTGGGGTTTTGCTAGAAACCAGCTTTAATCCCAGTGGTGGCTGACCCTAATCCCATAAGGGACCCATTTAGAGACTGAGCCTCTGTCAGGCACCCAGAGAAGAATAACTCCCAGAGCCCATGCCCTGGGACTGGGAGTAAGCTAGATCCAGCTTTTGTGACCCTCTCTCTCTGTCTTTTGTAGAATGGCTGTTCCATGAGGTCAAGACTGAGGCCCCTCCCTTCTCCCACTTTACCAATGCCTGGTCTCATGGGGTTAGTTTGGAGCCCACCACGATGGCATCATCAACCTCCTCCCCGGCTCCTGGCTCCAGGTCCAAGAAGCCTCTGGGCAAGATGGCTGGTGAGTGGACACAGACTCCTAATTCCAGGAGGCTGCCTGGCCCCCAAACACAGGCCCTGGAGAGATTCAAAGGAGGCTGATGGTGTGGGAGGAGTGGTCCTGTCTTGATTTCAGTGCCCAGGGCTCTGTGGGGAGTGAGGCGGTGTGCCTCTGGGAGCCTTCAATCATTTTGGCTCACTGGTCTCCCAGGTGTGCTCAGCTAATCTTCCCAGCCTGGAAACCACCGTGCTGAGTACTTGACTTGATGTCTCTTGTCCTCTAAATCGCTCAGAACCATTCAGAGGAAGGAGACAAGCAGAGCAGAGAGAGAGGACACCTCCGGAACACCTATCCTGATCAAAAGCTAGAGAAGCTGAGTTGAAATCATTTGGAGTACTCAACAATATGCCAGATAAGGCATTATTTCCTCTAACCTTCAACAACAACTGAAATGAACCCATTTTCCAGATAAGGAAGTGGAAACATAGACTGTCTTGTTTAAGGTCATCCAGAAAGCAAGCAGTCCACAATCAAATCTGTGCGGCCCTCCGAAGTGTGGTTTGGAATCAATCAAGTGCTAAGGTCTTCAGGAGCTCTGGACAGTGACCTCCTTCCACATTCCCATTTTACCCATTTGGCAGGAAGCTAGGATTTCTCAGGGCTTCCCAAGTGGTGCTCGTGGTAAAGAACCTGCCTGCCAATGCAGGAGACATAAGAGATGTGGGTTCAATCTCTGGGTTGGGAAGATTCCCCTGGAGGAGGATATGGCCACCTACTCCAGTATTCTTGTCTGGAGAATCCCATGGACAGAGGAGCTAGTGGGCTACAGTCCACAGGGTTGTGAAGTCGGACATGATTGAGGAGACTTAGCATGCACGTACGTAGCACGTAGGATTTCTCATGGCCAAACAGGTGCCAATCCCTGCCTCTCTTTTGCTCCCCGTGATCTAAATCTACCTCCCCTCAGTGCTAAAAATGGGTTTGGGGACTAACTGACATTTACCAGCTTAACATAATTCTGCTTACAGGCTCACAGATGGTTGATTAGTCATCTTTTGGGAAGTTCTGGTTAGGCTGGGGGTATCAGAAACCAAAGGGCGTGGAGCAGGCGAAGCTGTCTTTCCTAATCAGGCTGGTAAACAGCTAGAGTTGTTGTTTTTTCTCATATCGTTGTTATACCAAAAATTTTTTTTTTAATTATTGAGGTATAATTGACATACGCTATTCCATTAGTTTCAGATGTACAACATAGTGATCCAGCATTTGTATATATTGTAAGATAATCATTGCACTAAGTCTAGTTAACATCCATCACCTTACAGTTCCTTCTTGTGATGAGAACTTTTTTGATCTACTCTTAGTAACTTTCGAATATGCAATACAGTAGGACAAGCTGGTATTACATCTCCGCTGACTTATAAAACTGCCAGGCTTCTTTATTTATTTTGGCTGCTCTGGGTCTTTGTTGCTGTGCGTGGGTTCTCTAGTTGCAGTGCACGGGCTCCTCATTGCGGTGACTTCCCTTGTTGAGGAGCTTGGGCTCTAGGGCACGTGGGCACCAGTAATTTCTGCTCATGGGCTCTAGAGTGAGGGCTGGAGCTTAGTTCCCCGGAGGCATGTGGAATCTTCCTGGACCAGGGATGAAACCCATGTCCCCTGCATTGGGAGGTGGATCCTCAACCATTGGGCCACCCGGGAAGTGCAAACAACCAGCTTTTATGTATTCCCCAAACCTTTAAAGATAAGGGGAAGTTTGGGGCAAGTCCCGAGGGATGGACACAGTACACAGAATAGCTGGTGTGAGAAGGTGGGCAGGGGAGACAGACTGGGGTCCATCCCGAGGTGACTCTTCTCTGGTGGGGTCGGGAGGAAGCCCCTGCTGAGAACTCCAAGCCTAAGCAATGCCGCTCTCCCCTGCAGACTGGTTCAGGCAGGCCCTGTCGAGGAAGCCCACGAAGAAGCCCGTCTCCCCAGAAAGCGCCCCCAGCGACGTTTCACAGCCGAGCTCACCGGACAGCCCCCCATCCCTGGGCCGCAGCTCAGAGGTGTCTCCCATCCCTACACCGTCGCACGGGGGCGCCGACGGCGGCGGCGGCGGCAGCAGCAGCAGCGGCCGCTGGAGCAAGGACTATGATGTGTGCGTGTGCCACAGCGAGGAGGACCTGGTGGCCGCCCAGGAGCTGGTCTCCTACCTGGAGGGCGGCGCCGCCAGCCTGCGCTGCTTCTTGCAGCTTCGCGACGCCACCCCCGGCGGCGCCATCGTGTCCGAGCTGTGCCACGCTCTGAGCAGCAGCCACTGCCGCGTGCTGCTCATCACCCCGGGCTTCCTCCGGGACCCGTGGTGCAGGTTCCAGATGCTGCAGGCGCTGAGCGAGGCCCCCGGGGCCGAGGGCCGCACCATCCCGCTGATGTCCGGCCTCAGCCGAGCCGCCTATCCCGCCGAGCTCCGATACATGTACTTCGTGGACGGCCGCGGTCCCGAACGTGGCTTCCGCCAAGTCAAGGAGGCTGTCATGCGGTGTAAGCTTTGGGGAAGGGCTTGCTCTACCTGGGCTTTTAGGAGACACCCAGGGTAGCCTAGTATGGGCTTCACTCTATTTTATCTTTTTAGGAAAATATGTCTGCCCAGCATCTTTGAGCTGGCGGGGATCTTCCTTGAAGCATGAAGGCTCTTTCAGTTGCCACCTGAGAACTCTTAGTTGCAGGGAGGCAGGATCTAGTTTCCTGACCAGCGATGGAACAACCAGTTCCCCCTCCACCCCGGGCTGGGAGCACAGAGTCTTAACCACTGGACCACCAGGGAAGTTCCTAGGCTTCACTTGATTGCACTTGGCAAATGCTGTGTTTTGGTTTTTTTTACAAACAGAAGGTTTGTGGCAACCTTTCCTGGTCAGATGATAATTAGCTTTTTTTTTTCTTTTTTAGCACTATATATTTTTAAATTAGGGCTTCCCTGGTGGCTCAGATGGTAAAGAATCTGCCTGCAATGCAGGAGACCCGGATTTGATCCCTGGGTGGGGAAGATCCCCTGGAGAAGGAAAAGGCAACCCACTGCAGTATTCTTGTCTGGAGAATTCCATGGACAGAGGAGCCTGGTAGACTATAGTCCACGGGGTCACAAAGAGTCGGATATGACTCAGCAGTTGTTCCTATTCCTATTTTTTAATTAAGGCATGTACATTTTTTTAAATCAACTTTTTATTGAAGTATATTTGATTTACAATGTTGCTCTATAGCATAGTGATTCAGTTATATATATATTTTTAATCTTCTTTTCCATTGTGGTTAATCATAGGATATTGAATATAGTTCTCTGTGAAGGGATGTACATTGTTTTAAAAACATCATGCTTTTGAACACTTAATAGACTACAGGAGAGTATAAACATAACTTTTACATGCACTGGGAAGCCAAAGAATTTGTGACTCATTTGACTGCAATATTTGCTTTATTATGGTGGTCTGTAACTGAACCTGCCGTGTTTCTGAGGTCTGTGTGTAGTTCAGAGTGCAGGCTCTGGAAAAGACCATGTTACCTGGGTGAGTTACTTAACTGCTCTGTGCCTGGGTTTTCTCATTGGTTGAATGAGAATTACATTATATACCTAAATAAGTATGTACACTAAGTAGGTATTCAGGACATTGCCTGCCACGTGTAAAGTACTCGTAACAGGCAAGGCCTAGCACATGTCAAGTCCTCAATAAATATTAGCCATTATCATCATTATTGGGACTTCCCAGGTGGCTCAGTGGGTAAAGAATTAGCCTGCAATGCAGGAGACACAGGTTGGATCCCTGGGTCAGAAAGGGATCTCCTCCTCTGGAGGAGAAAATGGCAACTCATTCCAGTATTACTGCCTGGGAAATCCCATGGACAGAGGAATCTGGTGGGCTACCATCCATGAGGTTGCAAAGAGTTGGACATGACTGACCGACTGAACATACACACACATATATACATCATTACTAGTATTAATAGTATTAGATTTCTCTCATTGAGGTCAGGTTGGCAATGTCCACCAAGAGCTAAGAACATGCCAGGAGGGACCCTGGCTTAGTATTGGTTTAGTAAAGCCAACAGGTGCAAAATAATAGGGAAGAATTGCCCATGATAAGCATATCCAGGGAGGGGCAATATATAACAGTGGGTTTGGAAGGTAAAATAGATTAAAAGGCAGTGGAGGCGGGGAGCTGTTGGGGGGAAACAGAGATGCTGGGATCTGAGGATGGTGACAAGCCCTGTGCCTCTTGGATCTCTTTCAGACCTGCAGACCCTTGGCTGATGCTTGATCCATCACCACTGCACCCAGACAGTTGGAGAAGAGTGGGAAATGCAGTTAGAGAGCCCAGGGCCTGGGATTCCAGCAGACACAGAGTTGTAAGGAGTGAGTTTGCAGGACACTGTATGTGACCCAGGGATCAGACTGTCTGTGGCCTCCATATCCTTGGGCTCTCAGGAAGGACCCAGGGAAGTTGGGGAGCCCCTCCAGGGAGGCCTGGCGAGGCTGGGGATTCCCCCAGGAAGGCCTGGGGAGACTGGGGACTTCCCCAAGAAGGCCTGGGGAGACTGGGGATCCCCCAGGAAGGCCTGGAAGAGCCAGAAATCGGAGGCGGGAGGAAGTGCTGATACCAAGATATGGCCCACGTGATGCCGCCTGCATGACTGGACTTGAAGCCTGGCAGGTCATATCTATGTCTTCAGCCCCTGGAATCGGGCACTGGTGTTGAGGTGCATTCCTCTTGAAGAGGTGGCTCACCTGAGTAAGGAGCTGGAATCCTGGACCACTTGCCTCAGCTGCGTGGTTTTCCCAGGTGCGGGGAAGCCCTGAGCAGGCGTCAGGACAAAGCAACAGGTATGCTGTCTTTCACACTCACACTCCTGCCGGGGTCTCCCTGTGATGTCGTTCACATCTAAAAGGTATGTGGAAGATGCCCTCAGCACTGTTGTTTCCACTGCACGCCTGTGATTCAAGACCCACACCTAGAGCCCATTCAGAAGAGACAGGAGAGAGCGGGGAGCAGGTGGGGCAAAGAGAAGGGAAACTCAGATCTTTTAGCTGGGATCAAAAGCCCTCTCACTGATCACTGACATGTGGGGGCTTCATCACATGTCTGGCCAGAACTCACGCTTTCTCATGCAGAGAGCCCCTCACCTCTGCACTCAGAGGAATCAGTGTATTTCCTCTGGAGGATGGTATGTTTTCAATAAAACTTGTTGAGCTGAAATGAACTTATTACTTCCCTGATGTATACTTTTGTGTCTCTTCGTCCACTCCCCCCTCCCCCACCACATCTCCTTTTACTGAAAAAAATATACACATATATATTTTTCTAAAAACTGAGATATAATTGACATATATTAGTTTCAAGTGTACATGATGTGCTATCTGCATATATGAAAAAACCTTTAATTACAAATTATCTTATTACATATGAAAGGACTAAAGAATAATGTAGTACACTCACCTACTCTACACCCAGCTTATTTTTTTATACAATACATTGTAATTTTTATTTTATTTTTTTCCAGTTTAGGATTTTTATTATTTTTTTTCCATTTATTTTTAATAGTTGGAGGCTAATTACTTTACAATATTGTAGTGGTTTTTGTCATACATTGACATGAATCAGCCATGGATTTACATTACACCCAGCTTAGAAGCAAACCCTCACAAGCCCCATGTTGCTCCCTATCTGTCCTTAATTATATTCTCCTTCCTTCTCCCACTAGAAGTAACCACTATCTGAAATTTTGAATGTTATCACTCTTAGCTTTTCTCTAGAAATTTATTACATATGTATGCATCCCTGACAGCATACTTTTACATGGTTTTGTATTATAAATAAATGGTGTTATGTTTACAGATTATGCAAATTCCTTCCTTTGGCCATTTGTTTGTAAGATGTATCCACGATGATGCATGGAGCTCCAGTACATTCACTTTCATTCCATTATGTAAATATACCACTGTTTAGCTGCACATTCTTTTACAAATGGACACTAGGTTGTTTCCAGTTTCTTTGGGGTTTTTTTTTTGCTATTGAAAATAAGCCTGTGAGCATTTTTATTCTTGTATATGTTTTCCAGGGCAAGATCTTCTAGGATTTAACCTAGATGGGGAATAGTCAAGAGTATCCAGTGGTTTTGGCAGAAGATGTGAAATTTTCCTCCAAGTTGATTCTGCCAATTTCTGTTCCTACCCTGTGTGTATAAGAGTTGTCACTTTTTCATCTTGCTAACAATTAGAATTATCAGATTTTTTATTTGTATTTTTTGTTGCACTGCACAGCTTTTGGGATCTTACTTCCCTGACCAGGGATTGAACCCAGGCCTTGGCAGTGAAAGCGCTGAGTCCTAAACACTGGACTGCTAGGGAATTACTTAGAATGATCAGTTTTTTAGGGCTTCTCCAGTAGCTCAGATGGTAAAGCATCCGCCTGTAATGCAGGAGACCAGGGTTCAATCCCTGGGTTGGAAAGATCCCCCTGGAGAAGGCAATAGCAACCCACTCCAGTATTCTTGCCTGAAGAATTCCATGGACAGAGGAGCCTGGTGGGCTACAGTCCACGGAGTCACAAAGAGTCAGATACAACTGAGTGACTAACACATACACACACACGTCAGTTTTTTAAGTGTGTGTTAATTTGGTGGGTGAATACTGATACACTATTGTCATAATGTTCTTTCTTCTCTTTTGCCTTTATTATAAAAAATATACACTAAAAGGAAGGAGGCAGTTTGACAAATCCCTGTATACCTATCACCCAGTTTCAACAATCACCAACTCAGAGATAAGCTTTTATCAACAATAACCCGACCCATAAGTCCCCTCCAGATCCTCTGAAGCAAAACCCAGGTGTTATTTTATTTCTAAATATTTAAGTATGTCTCTCTAAATTATTAGAAGTTTAAGAAAAAATATGACCACAATATAATAGTATCTTTTAAAGAAGTTTTTTATTTTTTAATGTAAACACTTTTATCTATTTGTAGTTTGTGCTTTTTGTGTCTTCTTTGGGAAATCTTGCATACTCTTGTATTTTCTTATGTAAGTATTTTACATTTGGTTCTTTAATCCAACTGGCTGTGCTGTTTGGGTTTGTTTTTGTTGCTCTTGATTTGTAAATCAGAGATCCATTTCCCCTCATTTGAATTGCTGTTCTTTGCTGCCTAGTCCCTCCTGCCCCACTGACTGTGCTGTCATCGGTGTCATGTTTTGTCATATGTCATACGCCTAGGTTCTCCAGGCTCCTTCCTTCATCTGTTCATGTACCCTGTCAGTGGCACCCTGCCTTACTGACTGTGATTGTTAGCAAACCTTGATAATTTACAGTCCGCTCTTCCCACTTCTTTTATTTCTCAGAATCACTTCAACCCTTCCCGTTCCTTTATTCTTTCATATAAATTGTTTATTCACTGTGTCAGATTCCAGGAATGGGCCAATTAGTATTTTTATTGGACTTACATTGAGTTGAGAGATTAATTTGGAAAGAATGGATGTTTTAATACTTCACAAAAATGTTATGACTCCATTTCTTTGTTTTTAAATGTATTTCAATAAACTTTACAAATCGTTTCCATATTGGTCAGTCACATTTTTTATGAGATTTATTCCTTAACACGTCATATTTTCTGTTGCTAGTGTAAAGTTATTTTTATTTATTTTGTGCTACGAAAAGCTTTACTTTTTCCATTTGGTCCAAAGCTTGAGAGAGGGCTCCAGGCAGAAGCCCTGGCGTTAGCAGGGCTCTTAAAAGGGCTCCTAGTCTTGCTTGAGGGTGAGCTTTTTGAAGAGATATTTGTCCAGTCGTGCCTGGGAACCAGCCAGCCTGCAAAGGTTGGTCAGATGGTCCCCTGTCTTCTTGATGCATTTCACCTCCTTAACTAGGAAGTGGTTCTCCAGGAAGTCACAAATGTGGGGACTTGTGACAGAACCCAGACCATGCAGATCCAAAATGGCCTGCTCTAGGTTCTTCTCCAGGAGAAGGGCAGCTTCAATAGTGTCCTGGGTTTTACCCCCACTCGTCTTGAGACGGCTTCTGCACCTCCAGGAAGAGGGAGCGGCCGCTGCGCTGGCTTGGCATTGTCAAGAAGTGCTCGAGGGTCCTCGCGCTTCTCCTTGGCCAGTTTGGCCAGTTTGCGAAAGAAGTGGCTCACACCCTCCAGAGCCACAATGTTGCGGTCCAGATAGAAGCCCAGAGAGAGGTAGGTGTACAAGTCCCGCAGTGTAAGTGACTGACAGCGGCCACCACCTCAATGGAATAATTCTGACCAATCTGGGAGCTCATGGGTGATCGGTAATAAGGAATTAAGCTCCAAAAATGGAGATGGCTGGTCCCGGTGATCGTGGACAGCTGAGTGACTGATTCTGAAGGCTGCCACTGAAAAAAAGATTGGAGTGTGGTCGGAGGCTGGAGCAAGGGGCATCCCTGGGTCTGTTCCGTCCAAGCACTGTTGAAGCAAGAGATGGATCCGCGAGACAGTTGAGGGAACTACAAATTATTTTTAAATTATATTTTTTATCTGTCACTGGTGAGCTTCCCTGGTGATTCTGCCTGCCGATGCAGGAAACACGGGTTTGATCCCTCGGTGAGAAAGATCCCCTGGAGAAGGGAATGGCTACCCACGCCAGTATTCTTGCCTAGAAAATCCCATGGACAGAGGAGCCTGGTGGGCTACAGTCGGACGCAACGGAGCAACTAAACAACAACAAGAGGTGAAGACTACAAAACTGGCTGAAATAGATCTTTCAGTTTGAATTTCTGAATCATGTAGGCAGTATCAATCTGAATTCTAAATCTGAATGGAAATTGACCTGTGATTACAAGTTTTCAGGATTTTTACCCGCTTCTCTCCAGAGCCAGATGTTGAGGCAGATAAGTTTCCTAAACATCTTGTTTCCTCCAGTGGGACAGCTTTTAAAAAAAATTTTTAGGTAGTTGGCCTTTCATTGAGGCGGTGGCCCTTTAGAGATGTTGCAGAGAAATTACAATTTTTACATGGCAGTCTCTCTAGCCCTCCTGTTTAGAGACCTGCTGCTTTCTCTCTTCACTCAGCAGCGGCCTCCACGAGGGCGGGCCAGCACAAGGGGATCAAGAACAAGGAAACTCGAATTAAAACGCTGGATGGAAAAAAAAAAACAAAACAAAAAACGCTGGATGGGAGCAGGTCCTACGAATCTGAGCTCCTAGGTTCCTTAGCGCCAGAAGAGCCCCCGGCTCTGGGCGCGAAGCACGTCGGGAGTTGTAGTCGCCACCCCTGGTGGAGGTGGGAGGAGCTTGTGAGGAGGGGTGGGGCCGCGGCAGGGTTTGCGCAGGCGCACACCTTCCGCCCGGCAGCATGGCGGAGCTAGCGCATCAGCAGAGCAAGAGAAAGCGCGAACTGGACGCCGATGAGGCGGAGGCATCCAGCACAGAGGGAAAGGAGGAGGGCGTTGGGAATGGTACCTCTGCCCCTGTCCGCTTACCTTTCTCCGGCTTTAGGGTGAAAAAAGTGCTGAGGGAGTCTGCGCGGGACAAAATCATTTTCCTGCACGGGAAGGTACCAATAGGCAGTTCTGGGGAGGGGATACGGAAGGGGATGACCCAATCGTCGCCTCGGAGGCGGATTTTTTTTTTTTTTTAATAGATTCTTCGGAAAATACCAATCGCATTCCTGGGACGGGGGAGGCAGAGTGCACTAAAATGCATCCGCCGGTTGTGGAGGAGACAAGATTATCCGTGAAATTAATTAAGGGAATTAACACGCGTAGGGCTAAATTTCCTAATTCCTCTTTTACTAAAATAAGAACTAACACCAGTAGGGTGTATTGCCGATTAAAAATCACATGTTGAAGTCCCTAAGCATTCATTGTTCATTCATTAAACCTGTAAGATGCTAGTGAAAGTGAAAGTGTTAGCCGCTCAGTCCTGTCCGACTCTTTGCTACCCCATGGGCTGTATCCCACTAGGCTCCTCTCTCCATGGGGTTCTCCAGGCAAGAATACTGGACTGGGTTGCCATTCCCTTCTCCAGGGGATCTTCCCAATCCAGGGATGGAACCCACCTCTCCTACATTGCAGGCGGATTCTTTACTGTAAGATGGTAGTTCAGTCGCTCAGTGGTGTCAGACTCCTTGTGACCCCATGGATTGCAGCTCACCAGGCTTCCCTGTCAATCACCAACTCCCACAGCTTGCTCAAACTCATGTTCATGGAGTTGGTGATGCCATCGAACCATCTCATTCTCTGTCAGACGCTTGTAAATGTTGCTGGGTGGTCTTGTTCATCCAGGTCCCAGGCAGTGACATAGAGACTGTGGGAAGTTTGATCCTTGTTCTACAGGACTCCACCCCAACAGGGGAGACAGTTTATTCAATTGCTGGTCCAGTTATACATGTCATGAGCTGACAGGCCAGCACTGATCTAGGTGCAGGAGACCTGATGAAAATTACTATCTTTGATCTCCAGGAGTGCGCAGTATGTTCCAGTAGACAGACACCGCTGGCTCAAATACTGTGTGCTCAGCTTTCTAGCAGGGACTGAGGAGAGACTGAAGACCACCCCAAGAACTAGTGAGGAGGCCGTCTGAGGGTTCTCCAGAACTCCTGGCAAGAGCTTTCACTTTTGGGAGCTTGGGGGAACCTGTCTGAGGCATCTGAGCCTGTCTCTGTCTCATTTTTTTGGCCATGTAGGATCCTAGTTCCCTGACCAGGGATGGAACCCACACCTCCTGCATTGGAGGTGCGGAGTCTTAACTACTCGACCACCAGGGAAATCCCTGCATCTCTTGTTTTTTAGCGAGGTTCTGTCTGGTTCTCTCAGCCCACCTGTCTTTAGTCTGCGATGCCTGCTGAAGATTTTAGCCAAGAGAACCTTTGAGCTTGAAGCTAGTTGGGGATACTCAAGAGATTCTACTTTCTGTTTCAACATTGACTATTTGTGTCGCTTCAGGCAAGTCACTTAATCTTCTCTAGACTTCAGATTCTTCATCTGTAAAATGGGGAGAATTTGACAGGCCTTGTGAGCCTAGAAGAGAAGATAGCAGAGAAGCTTTGCATCTTTCTGAAGAAAGATGCCACAAGGATTTGGGCTGATGAGATGTCTTCTCTGGGAGAGGAAACATGGGCACCTTTGGCTAGACTTCCCCAGAGGGAAGACTGCAGGAAAGGAAATCCTGAGTATTGGATTGCAGAGGCCCTGGGAGCGTTTACATTTGCTCTCCGGGCCTCCCCTGTGATTCTGCCCCTGGGCCCACTGATGGTGTCTCCCCAACAGGTGAACGAGGCATCTGGGGATGGGGATGGGGAGGATGCTGTCGTGATCCTGGAGAAGACGCCATTCCAGGTGGATCAGGTGGCCCAGCTTCTGAAGGGCAGTCCTGAGCTCCAGCTGCAGTTCTCCAATGATATCTACAGCACCTATCACCTGTTCCCTCCAAGGCAACTCAGTGGTAAGCTGGTGGTGGAGGTGGCTGCCTGCGGGGGGAGTGTGATGGTGGGGAAATAGGGGAACAGTGACCACTCCATTACAGATTTGCATGTTCAGTTGCAGTGGTTCCCTCTGAAAGGAGGCGGGAACGCTTGGCATTCTATGAAGACATTTTTGGTTGTCAGAACTGGGGAGTTAGGGTATTGCTGGTTCCTAGAGGATGGAGGCCAGAGATGCTGCTAAATATCCTACAAAGCACTAGATGGGCCCCCACAACAAAGAAGTGGCAATAGTGTCAAGACTGAGAAACCAGGCTCCAGCATGGTGTGCTTTGGGGCCGGAGTGTGATTCATAGGAGTAATAGTAATTGTCCATACTTCTTAAACCCTTTCTGTTGTACTGGCCACCAGTCTTAAGTATTCTATATGTGTCATTGTATTTAATCTTCAGAGCAGCCCTGTTGTGGTAGGGCTTTACAGAGGCGGAAACTGAGGTTTGGGACGGTTAAGAAAGCTGTCCAAGATCACACAGCAAATAAGTAGCAGAAAAACTCAGATCTTTAGTTGACCAAGGAGTTGCTTTCACCACGTGGCTATGCAATGAGCAGTGTGCTGGGTGCTGTAAGATCAGTTAATTCCCGGAAGGAACTCACTGTCTAGGGTGGGGAGACAGGGAGTGTAATCGAGGAGGGACTTGAGAAGGGGAGGATTTCGTGGGTTAAGAAGCAGAGATTTTTGGTCGTTTATGGTTGCCTGAAACACAAGACCTTGTAGTCAGCTGAAATGTGATGTGGGACCAGGCAGGCCTTTCCTGAAGAGGTTGGGGAGGCCAGCCTTTCTTCTGGAGGGAATGGCCTGAGCTGTGTTATGGGCAGACCAACTGATGTGTACAGAGGTAGGGTATCACTTTTGATCTTTTGTAGTTTTATTACACTTGAACTGAGGGGGAAAAAAAGCAGAGATTTGGGGGTTTTTTAACGATTTTTTTTTTGGCTGCCCTGGTTGGCATGTGGGAGATCTTAGTTCCACAACCAGGGATTGAAGTGGTGCCTCCTGCAGTATAAATGTGGATGCTTAACCACTGGATCATTGGGGAAGTCCCAGAGATTTGGTTTTGATCACAAGTATTAATACTTTTTAATTTATTAAGAGGAAGAACTGATTCATTCTAAAAGACCCTGACGCTAGGAAAGATTGAAGGCAAAAGGAGAAGGGGGCGACAGAGGATGAGATGGTGAGATAACATCACCAACTCAATGGACATAAATTTGAGCAAATTCTGGGAGATAGTGGAGGATAGAGGAGCCTGACATGTTACAGTCCATGGGGTCACAAAGAGTCCAGCATGACTTAGCGACTGAACAAGAAGAGGAAGAATATTCCATGCCCAAAGCTAGACATGCTGTGAACTCTTTTTTCCTTTTGATGGTGAGATTCAGGAGGCAGCTTTGTGGAAAGCATGAGGGAGGCTGGTTGGCCTTGAAGGTTCCTTCCAGCCAGGAAATCCTGGGATCTGCTTTGCAACACAGGGCAGTCTTCTAATGTCCTTCTGCCTGTCTTTTGCCCTCCAGCGTTTAGGAACAGCTTGGCTTTACAGATATCCTGCCATAGTCTTTTGGATAGGCGTAGTCTTTTCTGTACCCCCAAGAAAGGGTGCCGTTGTCCTTCGGAAATATATATGAACACTTGATGTGAGAGAAGCCAACCTTTCATGGCTGAAATCAAAAACAGCCTGATCTTTTACTGAAAGAGGGTCAGGTTGATCTGTTCCCGTTGACGGAAATGGACAACTTTATTTGCTTTCTCAGGTGCTGACGTTTAAACAAAGGTAGTTCTCAAGGTGAGATGGCAGAAGCGTGCCAGGGGACACTGTAGCTGCCCAGGACTTGGGACAGCCACCACCTCCAGGCTCTGGGGCCACCACTCTGCTGCGAGCCCTTCCTTCTCCTTCCCCTCTTCTCTCCCCATCCTCAGCCCAAATTCAGAAGGTTCTGCTCCACGGATATACCTTGTAGAATTTGCAGCCTCTCCTTTTCATTTTATTTTTCCAACGCATGTTCTTCTGTGGTGCTATACAGTTGGTGGTGGCCGCTGCCCCGTCTTTCTATTTTTGTCATTTTTCCCCCCAAGATAAGCACCGAAAGAGACAGTGGGTTGTCAGGGTCACAGGTGTCTGTCCCCTGTCAGCCCCCTGTATGTCACACTTCTTCCCCAGTGGTGTACACTCTCAACTGTGAGCCTCAGGTTTTAGCTCCTCTTTTCTAGGGCTCATTCTCTTCAATTTGTATTTATTTTAATTTTTGTTTACTTGGCTGCACCAGATCTTAGTTGTGGCATATGAACTCTTAGTGGTGGCATGTGGGATCTAGTTGCTTGACCAGGGATCGAACTCAGGCCCCCTGCATTGGGAGTCTGGAGTCTCAGCCACTGGACCACTGGGGAAGTCCCTCACTGTCTTTTTAGCATAAACACAGAGACAGTGTGTTACACTTTTATCTTTCTGACTGAAACTATGCATGGTGACTTGGAAGTGGTAGCAGTCTGGCTCAGGGCTCCACCTACAGCCCTCTCTCATTTCTTTGTGCACCTTATCCCTGGATAACATCCAGATCAGGGGTTGGCAGACCTTTTCTGTCAGGGACCAAAGGTAAGTATTTGAGGCTTCATGCGTCACTGTAATCCTCTCTGTCACATGTTATTTTCTTCTTTTAACCTTTTTAAAAATAAGAATGCCACTCTTATCTCACTGGATGCAGGAAAACAGGCCACAGGCCAGATTTGACGTTCTGGCCACAGTTTGTCAACTTCTGTTCCAGATTTTTCCCCACCCACAGTGTGGTCTGTAGACTAGGAACGTTGGTACCACCTAGGAGCTTGTTAGAAACGCAGCATCTCAGAGCCCGCTCCAGACGGCAGAATTAAAATTTGCATTTTAGCAAAAACCCTAGGTGAGTCACACACACATGAAAATTGTTGAGAGGCACTGGTCTGTAAACACCATCTGTGTGGGGGTGATGTTCACATTTATTCCTCCATCTCTGACCTCTCCAAGAACCCCAGGCTCATACTGAAATAATCACCTACTTAGCATCTCCATTCGGTGGGCTCATGGGTACCTCGGGTGAATTGTGAGGATCCGATGGACTGT